TTAACAATTTCTAATTTTCCTACATTCATGGTTCTCACATTCCATGTTCCAATCACTAGTGTCTGCTTACAACTGTTCCTCTTGCTTTGTATTTCCATGCTTGACAGTTCTACCTAGGTTGCCCTTTCTGTTCGTCTATGTGTGTTGGTACATGGGGTTTTCAGAGGCCTGCCATTTCAGAAGTGGATGGCCAATCCTTCTTCCTAGTCTGTCTTAATCTGAATGTTTAGATTTAGAGCAGCATTTGACAGACAGCTATTTGTGCAGTAGTGAAAGATAAATCCCTCATTTTGGAGTTGACCATTAGTTACAGTGTAGTCCCTGCCCTTAGCCCAGTGCCTTGACTCACTTATTTCCCAGCTCCACCCTCCAGCAGGATACCACTGCACTTCTACCAAATGCCTTCAGAATTAATCTCCCATTGCCTGACCCATGACCTGACAGCTTGTCAGAGAGATTTTATATAATACCAATATATATTGACATTTTTGGTATAATTTTAAAGCTGTTTAAAGAACTCAGTCAGAAACCCTGTACATCAAATTCTATGTTTTAAAAAAAATACTTAGATTTAAAGTTTTTACTCAGTCAGTATTAGAAAAATCTCAAATTCTTTTTCCTCCTGTTGCAACAGACTTATTGCTGACCCGCTAGTTGTTTTTCTGAGGTGGTAAATCACTCAAAAGGAAATTGCCCATCACTGTCCTTCAGAGCTCCTTTTGGATTCAGCCTTTATAATTTTATTCCCTAGGCCACCAGAATTTCTGAAGTCAGTATAAAAGAAAACTATTATGTTAACATTCTTAAGTTCAACATAAAGGTAAGTCTGTGGTATTCCATATGGAACCATGGTGCTTTAAAGTGGTAAGCAGTTCTGCTGTCAACCTGAAGGCACATGATTTGAGTCCACCAGCTTCTTCACTATAAAACAGATGAGCAGTCTCCTCCTGCGTGATTCACAGCCTCTGAAAAACCTCGGGAGAGTCAGCTATGGGTCAGTTCTGACTTGATGTTACTTAACACAAGTAGCTCAAGCACTTAACTAGATACCTTAGATTTTGTTTATTTAGTTCCTAGAAAGTTGCATTACTGAACCAAAGGCCATGCCTCTAGCAGATTGGATTCAGCAGCCAGACAAAAAGATGGGCAGTCTCATCCTGTGCTTTTTATAGTTTCAGGAAATCTGCCATAGAGTCAAGCAGAAGTCATTTCTCACTCCACAGAAATGTTGTTGATGTTGTTGGGGGCCATCAAGTCAATTACAACTCATAGCAACTCTGTGAGCAACAAATTTGAGCCTTGCTCTATCCTGCACTACTATCATCACAATCTCGGATCTGCTCCAGTTCACTGTGTCCATCCATCTTGTTGAGAGTGTTCCTTTCTTTCTCTGACCCTCTGTTTTTCCAGGCATGTTTTCCCCCTGCAAAGACCAGTCCCTCAATTTTTTTTTTGCTCAAGTTTTGTCTTCATCTCTAAAGAGCACCCCGGATGCCCTTCCTCCAAGACAAATTTGTTTGTTCTTAAACTATTCAGTCCATGAATATTTAGTACTCTCCTCCAGTACCACAATTCAAAAGGCATTAGTTCTTCTGCTGTCATCCTTATTTATCGCCCAACTTTCATATGCATAGGAAGTAATTAAAAAGACCATGGCTTTATTCACATGCACCTTAATTTTTAAGCTGGCAGTGTTGCTCTTTAGCATTTTGGAGAGGTCACTGACAATAGACTTTCCCAGTGTGGTTGCTGCTCCCATGGATGATGTGAATCCAAGTGAAATGAAATTGTTGACAACTCCAGTTAGTTTTACATCTATCATCAGTGGTGACGATTTTTGTTTTCTTGATGTTGAGATGTAATCCATATTGAAGGTTTTGGGCTTTAATCTTACGCAGTCAGTGTTTCAAGTCTTCTTCACTTTCATTAAGGATGGTGCTTTAATCTGCCTAATACAGGTTATTGATGAGTCTTCTTCCAATTATGATGCTACATACTTCAGAATATAGTACATCTCCTTGAATGATTTGCTCAGTATAGAGATTAGATAGTTACAGAGAAAGAATACAACCCAAGTGTACACCTTTTCTGACTTTTAATCATAATGTGTTCCCTTGTGCAGGTGGACAGCTGTTTCTTGGTCTAGGTTTTACATACAATTAAGTATTCTATAATTCTCATTCTTTTAACTGATATCCATAATTTGTTATGATCCACACAATCTATGTGTGATCCACACAATTTATTGACTATGCAGAACGCCTTTGCATTGTCAATAAAACACAAACATGTTTCCAATGAATAAGTTTTATTTACTTTGTGAGTTCAAATTAGTTTACTAATACATGTAGATTTTCTTCACATCGTTGTAGCTGTGTATTTACATGTTCAATTTGAAGGGTTTGTAAAGAGATTTCTTTCCCTTTCCTCTCTCCTAGCGATGTGCATTTTGTAAGCACCTTGGAGCCACTATCAAATGCTGTGAAGAGAAATGTACTCAGATATACCATTATCCTTGTGCTGCGGGAGCTGGCACCTTCCAAGACTTCAGTCACTTCTTCCTTCTTTGTCCAGAACACATTGACCAAGCTCCTGAAAGATGTAAGTTTACTAGAGGTATATTTTGGAACATTTATCAATACATTTCTATAAACGGTCAAATGGTATAAATTTGTGTTACCCTATCTCTACTTTAAGGTAGTAATATTATATAATTCCAGTAATATGAAGTCTGCCACATCCTAAAGGGAATCTGCTTTGTAACATTTTAATTGACATTAAATTGGGGAGGGAAAAGCATTTCTTCAAATAATCAATTCTTACCATTTTCTTAAAAATGTTTACATCATTTCATTGCAGAAAGATTGAAATATACTACATATTTCTAGTATGTATAAGATGAATTGACCAAGTTACTGCAACAGCATGCTTGAGCATCCAGATTGTGAGAAAGGCACAGGAGTGGTGCAGAGTTTCAGTCAGTTACAAAAGGAATCACCCAGCTTGAAAATTACATGATTCACTTAGATGTTAATTCAGTAAGCACATCAGTAGGATTGTGAAACAGTTCTGAAATTCTTGGAAATTTGTAGGGCCTTCCTTCTTCACATCTCTGCTGGTGTTCCTTCTTTATTCATCTCCCTTGGTGATCAGTATTTCTCAATTGAACATCTTTCTGTTTTAAACATCATTTATACCTCATTGAAAATGTTAAAGTTCTGAACTTTATGTTATACAGCAAGTGAAAACCTTTATTTTTGTCATTAAATATAGAACTTCTGTTTTTCTTAGTATGTGAGTTTCCAACAAACATATATGGGTTCTTTTACTGCTGGTAAATTGAACTATCAAGCTCATTATGAAATACGCATTATGCTTTTTTTTTTTAAAGAAAAAAAGCAAACAATCAACAACACAACATGTATCACTGTTACTTTTTGTTTGTTTATTAACAATGTAGGTAAAGATTTGTTTACCCTTCCCAACTTAGTGAGGTATAATCTAGCTAGCTCAAGCATAAACATATCTCAAATATAGACTACATGTTGAAAATAATGCTTTAAATAATTGTGTTCCATTTCATATTTTAAATAATTTCATTCAATTTCATGTTTTAAATAATTTCGTTTATTTTCATGTTAAATTAAAATTATTTTGTGTCTATTTCTATAATCATTTTCCCTTCATACAGAAGTAAATTATTTGTGGGACAAATGAAATTTCAAGTTATAAGTAGGTTAAGAAATTATTAAATCTAGGAGAAAAATGTTTGCACACTATACTTATTAGGTTGTTTTTTATTAGAATATCTAATGTAGTTAATTACATGAATAAGTGTAAGCACCAATGAGATGCTATCAGTCATCATAGTTGCTTTTATTTTGGGTGCTACGAAGTACTATACCATCCTGATACAAGTATTTTTGTAAATGTCGGAGGTAACATTTTATTTAACCTTTTTGTATTTAGTCATGTTTCAGACCTTTATAAACAATATACCAATGTTTACATGACTAAATATCTAGTATTAGAGATTTTGTAACTTCATGGCACTACTATATCTTGGAAAATATAATAGTATATACTTTAAGTTATATGGTAAATATAGCTTACTTTCTAAAATGATGACTTATAAGACCTGATTTGCGATGATTTGCCATCCTTTATTACAAAAGTTCACGTTGACAGAATAAAACCAAAAAATGCAATTTTATTTTATACTGAAGCAATTCCCAAATAGACTGATGGACATGAAGAACAGGAGAATAAAATGTAAAATAAGTAAGGAAATTTGGCCATGGAAAGAGAAAAGATAAGTAGGAAGGCAGTACTGAGGTTGATAAGCAAAATAGATCATGCTTCCTAGAGGTAAACTTCAAACTTGGCAAGAAAGCTGACTAGCTGTCAACAGGAAGAGGGAAATGTGAACATTTGCTCGATTCACAGTATATATAGCATAGCATAACAGAGCATAAGAGGTTACTTAATTTTTATACTATAGAGTAAGGTATATATTGTAATACATGGATGTCTTGAAACATACCTTGCAGCATGAGAAGCAAATTGTATAGAACTACTTCTAATAATACCCTTCTTAATAAGCCCAACAGAGTAAGTATTCTGTTGGGAATTCCTTGGGAATTTTAAAGAGGGCAATCTAAATGCTCAGATTTCTGATCATCTGTCTTAATTCAAAGTTATAATCTTGAGTATATTGCAGATTAAATAGATTAAGTAGTCTGTATAAACTGTGAAATGGTTTTAGAGACACTGATTAGATCTGCGTTTACGGTACAAGATGCTAAGATTGTTAAAGTTGCAGTCTCTTTGGATACATTGTCATTAGGATTGAATGACCCTAACTAGTAGAAATTACATGGCTTTGTGCCTTGTATGTCTTATTTATTTAAAAAAAGTAGCAATTTTAGCTCAAGTTGTGAGAAATAGCCTGCATATGCATGATATACATGGATTCTGCTGGTTAAGTGAAAAGTGATATACTTTAGTAACTAAGTTATGAGCAAGATTGACATCTTTTTATGAAAGAGTATCTGTAACCAAGATAGACTTTTCATCAGTAAATCATTTCAGGCCAGCTTTAAACATGATAAAACCAAGACAGCCCAAACCCATTGCTCTGATGTGGATTTAACTCATGGTGACCCTTTGTGAAGTGTACATTGTACTTATGTACAAGTAAATAAGATTACTGGAGGTGACTCCAGTGTTGTTTTTTGATGGTGCATGGATACACTAATTTTGTGTTGAATTTTGGCACTATATAATACATCTTGGAGATAGAACCAGATAAACTGCCTGTCCGTGAAAGCGGAACTAACTATTCAAGATCAAAGGGCAAAAACCATTCCAGGTAGAGGTATAGCTACTGCATAGGCCCTGATGATTAAGGGACAGAGAACTAATTATTGTGCTTGGAACATGGTGGTTAGATGGTAGAGATAATTTACAGGTATTATAAACAAAGGTAATGAATTTTTATTTTAGTGTATGTGCAGTGAAGAGTCCTTGTGAGGTTTAAATATGGTGATGCTGTGTCTCTTCATACACACATTCAGTCCCTGCCCCCAACTCTGTGTACTTTCATCTCTCCTCTTTGACTCCTTCTGCTTCATTTAAACTCTTAATAGCAACCTGGTGTCCTTATTTGTCTTTGTATCTTTTGGCAAGTCCCACTTTTCCATCACCCAGACTTTAGACTTTTCTTTCTTTCTAACCTACCTAATATACAGACCCGCATCTATGGACTACGTAAGTGATTTACCTTTTCTTTTTAGCATCATTTAATCGGCATATCACGCAGTACAGTGTCTTGTCAATTACAAAACCCCATAGATAATGTATGTCATAATGTTGGTGTTAGTTATGAAGCTGTACTGGCTTTGATCTCTTGTAACCGTCAGACAGCAGTGTGACTTTTTATGTTCTTCACTAGTGCTGTTATTCTTAGTACATTCTAAACTTTCTCAAACAGCAGTCTCACCTTCCAGTTTTACTGACTTTAAGCTCATTTACAATTTAAGCTCAATATTTTTCTTTTTCTCCACTTCTTTTTTGCAAAAGGGTCACTGAAGTAGTGCCCTTGTCCAGAGCCTTTCCTGCTCTTTCTTACACTGCTTTGTTGTGCCACAAGAACTGCTCCCCTGCTTACTTAGCATCTGCATTCTGTCTCTGGGCACTTGCTTTTCTGCAATATTGGTCACTTGTAAAGAGCATAACCTTTGAGCAATAGACTGTCATATAATTCCTGTCCTCTCTTTTTAGTTGTTATCTTTAGTTTTTTAGCTTTTCACCCAATCTCTTCTGCCTTTCCAAAACCTATACAAAATTAGTTTATTGTTTCAAACTTAATGGGTCTGTGGCTTGTGAATGTATGTGTGTACGTATAGTTACTTATTACATGACACCAAAATTATTCAGCAAGACCATCTTCTCATACATGATCTCCAAAGATTCAATCAGTATTTCCGTACTGATTCATTTTTTTCCATAAATACTCCCTGATTGGAGAGAAGATCGCAACTAACTTTAAATTTCTTTGTTTCTTTATATAGTAACTCTATTACTTTTTTTTTTTTTTACAAGAGAGCTCTGATAGCCTAGTAGGTAGGGAGTTGATTTGCCACCATAAAGGCAGAAAGTTCAAATGTGCCAGGTACTACTGGGGAGAAACATACATAGTCTCTTCCCATACTATTTATAGTTCCTGAAAACTACTGAAGGCTCAGTTATGGGTTTGAGCCTTTTTTTTTTATTTTTTACTTATTATGTGCCATCAAGTTGATTGTGGCTTAATAATGTTTTTAGACTAAATTATAACATATGGATAATCTTAAAGGCTAATTTATTGCCAGTGATCTGTACTTATGAGAACATGACAGTATTAACTTTGAAGGATTACTGGAAACAATCACAGAATTAAAAAATGTTACCTCTCACAGTAATATACACAGTTGTCTTGCTACAGAGTGGGGTTTACCAGAACACTGTTGTGCAATCTATAGTGCAGAATATATATAGTGCAAAAATATAATGTCAGCCTTATAATAAACAGTTTTAATTTTCTAGTAATCAAGTTAAAACCATCCAAAGAAGCTTTTGCAGTTCATTTTAGTATTTTATTCATCCCGATATAGCCAAAATATGTTTCAGTATATAATAAATATAAAATATGCTGATTTTTACCCCCTTTTTGTCCTAAGTCTTTGGAATCTTGTAGCCAGCTGTGGTGACTATGGCAAATTAAAATGTCAGAGTTACAAACTCTAGAAGGCCTCACAATAAGATTTTAGGCAGTGTACTTGGCAGATTGGAAGGTGAACTGAGTGTCTGGTAATCAAGAGTCAAGAGTTGATTATTTGCCATAATTTTTATAAGTTTTGAAGGTAGGCTGCAATAAAAAATTAGTTTCTAAATGTATATCACTTGAAAAGATAAACATAAAAATATTTTCTTATTAAGACAAAAAATTAACACTAATTTATTATTTCCATGAAAGATCAACTATTTATGACATATTTTTGCATAATTGGTATTTCAGAATGCCTATCATTTTAAATATATTTAATAAAACTTGTTTTGTGCCACAGCTGATGCATACAAATTTTAAAAAGACAAGCCCCTGTCCTTAAATGTTTCATACTGTTGTATCATAATTCTTCAGTTAACTAATATGAGTATCTTCTAAAGTATATGGGAAAAAAGAATATTCAGTAGGTCTTTGGGTGTGATAGTAGTAAGTGTTCAGGAATATGTTTGAATAGAGATTTTCCAACAGAAGTAATCAGGTATGTAAGAGCACACAGGCATTGTGTTGTATGCATGCAGACTCCTTGACAACACACAAATAGATTTTCTGATTTATTTGGAAAGAGAGGTGTTTTGGTTTCTTCATGCTACTCTAACAGAAATATCATTGATGAGTGATTTTTTTTTTAATGAACAGAAATTTATTCTCTGTTTCGGAGGCTAGAAGTTCAAATTTAGCGTCCTGACAGTAGGAGGCGGCTTCCTTTTTCTCTGCCCCTGAGAAAAGGACCTAGTGTATTTTTAGTTTTTGTTCTTAGACACCTTCATGTCTTCATGTGGCCAATTATTATTCTCTCAATTTATATTTATTTTTTTCTATGCTTATTCCAGTATTTTTATCTCAAGGTTATTGACTTAAATAAAACATACCCTATACTGATAAGGCATCATCAACATAGCAAATAAAATTCTATTCTTTATTGGATGGGATTACACCCAAGTATAGGGTTTAGGATTTATAACATGGATTTCTGGAGGGGGTGCAATTCAAACTGTACCTCTTTGTAGGAGGTAAGGACCTTCATACTTGAAGATTTTGAGAGTAAACTTCTTTTTTCAACTCCTTTCTTTTAGGTGACAGATTTTAATATAGGCAGGGGTTAACAATTAAATTTATGTGTTTTAGATTTGTAGATGATTTAGAATTTCAGAATTACATGAAATAGATCGTTGTTAGAGCAAAATAGGATGAACAACTATACAAATGGAACAAAAAAGTACAATGTATAGAAAGTTTTAGTAAGACTTGCTGTCAAATTTGGATGTATTGGTAAGGCAGAAATTGAAAATCAACAATAATACTAAGATATCTGCACTTATTCAAGGCATTTGAGAAAAAGGGACAGGTTTTGATTAAAAGAAAAATTTCTTTTCAGAGTACTAAGTCTGAGCAACTTTAGAACTTCCAGGTATTGACATCCAATAAGAATTGATGTTTAGAAAAGAACTACATGGCTGGTAATATAGAATTGAAAATTGATAGTGTTTTATGATCACAACACAAAAAAGAAAAATAGAAACAGGAGGAAATCCTAAGGAACTTCACCATATCAAGGGACTGTAGAGGTGAAAAAGCCAACAGAGAAAGACAAGCTAGAGGGTCAGAAACTAAGGGAATGTCAGGAGAGAGGTGCTGTCTTTGGCTTTTTGCCATAGAAACCATGCTGTTGTTTTTGTACTTAGATGCCATTGAGTATGACTCCTAGTGACTGACCTTGTAACAAAGATAGGGAAGTCTTTGTTGTTGTTGTTGTTGTTATGTGCCTTTGAGTCGCTTGTGACTCATAGTGACCCTATGTACAACATCCCTAAACTCTGTCCTGTGCCAATCGCACTGTCTCTGACACTCCCATCCCGATTATCCCAGTCTTAGCAGGAGAGAAATTAGTTCTATGGATGCTGCAAAGGTTTAAAATGTAACCACTGGATTTAGCAAGTATTTGGTCACTAAAAGAGAGTCTAGTGGCCTAGTTTGGAAGCTGGAATGGCATCTACTTCCTAAACAACATGCCTCTGGAAACTATGAACTCAGAGAAATGATAGTAGTTATAGGACAGGGTTGAGGTATTTTGTTCATAGGGTCACAATGAGTCATGCTCAACTTGGCGGCCACACTTAACAACAGTGGCCAGTGGTCAGAAGTTGTACTGCCGACCCAAAAGCATGCAGTTCAAATCAACCTTCTAGCTGAAGAAAAATGAGCTGTCTCCTCTCATAATGGTTTACAGCTTCTGAACACTCACAGCTGGGTCAGCTATGAGTCTGTTTCAACTTGATGGCACATAATAACACCACCATGGTCATTGGTAACCTCACCTAGGTGGTTTCAGAGAAGTGATATGTACAGAGGCCAGTTTTTGAAGTGTAAAGTCAAAGGCTCATAAACTGCAGCCTTTAAGTCTCAGTAAATCGTGACACCTATTTTTGTATTCCTTCCATGCTGAGAATGATTTTTACGTTGTTGTTTTTTTTTTTTAAATAACTGAAAAGCAAAGACATATGACAGAGACCCCTGTGTCCCTCAAAACCTTAAACACTTATTCTCTGACCTTTTATAGAAAGTGTTTGCTAGTTCCCAGTATAAATGAAAAGAATACTTGTTTCAAGATGCTTGACTGAAAAAGAAAGAATATCACAAAGGCTTATAACCAAAAAAGGATAGGACTGACTAAACCTTCAAGTAACAGGGTGGGGGAAATAAGAGATTGTCATATATCAATTAAAATGGTCATAGACTAAACAGACACTTTTACGGAGATCATATGTGTTATATATGGGCCTGTTTATATATTTCTACTAATGTTACAAATTTAGAATATATTATTCTCCTTTTTATAATATTTATGAATTTTACTGTGTTCTTGGCAAGGCAAAGTTTCCTTACATTTCTTTTTGTTTTAGATGGTAAAAACTATTGATAAAAAATGCCATTTCTTTTTTCTACCATATTTAGAGAGAGATGGTCAGTCCATAATTACGTGGATTTTGATGCATCTGACAATGATATAGATGAATGTAAAATTAGTATATGAAGTTTTATATTTGTGTGTATTATTATATAACTTTAATCTTAATGTTCTCCCTCATAAGACATTTTCTCTTATTTAAAAACCCTTATTTGAGTAAAAATGAGTCTGTGTATGTTGTTTGTGCTTAAAAGGCATCTTAATCTAAACGACACTAATTTTTTTTAACTTTGTCCTTTATCTTATTTGTTAATTTCCAGATATATTAAATCCCAAATAAAATATTTATTATTACACTGTAAAGTACATGTCAATTGATATTTTCCTTGTCAGGTTCTTTCCACCAAGCATATATTGAGCATTAACTAGGTGCCCTGTATTGTCATTGTTCTTAGGAATAAAAATTTAAATAAGAAATGTTTATGGGCTCTAGTAGATGTAGGCAAACATACTCTCAAAACGGTCTAATTAAATTTAAATTAAACACACTAGAATGTATTTTATTGAACTATTTAGTCTGATTGGATGTTAGTTCAATGTGATAATTTCAAGTGTCTGACACATTTACCATGTAAATTCCCTTCAGGTGATTTTTTAAATTGTAAAGTCAGAAAAAATAATAAACTTTTATACAACAATTTCATTGTCTTACTGTTAAATTATAGCAAAGGAAGATGCAAACTGTGCAGTGTGCGACAGCCCGGGAGACCTCTTAGATCAGTTCTTTTGTACCACTTGTGGTCAGCACTATCATGGAATGTGCCTGGATATAGCGGTTACTCCATTAAAGCGTGCAGGTTGGCAATGTCCTGAGTGCAAAGTGTGCCAGAACTGCAAGTAAGTTTTAATTTCAGCTCAAAAGTCTATATTGAGTCTAAGAGAAGGGGCAAGGTTTGTGTTAATATGATAAAGGTTGTTAATATTGCACCTATATTCAATCAAACCATCGTTATAATGTCTTAACGTAAACTTTTTTTTGTAGAATACTTATTAACATATCATTTTGAAGCAAGTCTAGGCAAAAACCAATTTTAATAGTTTAAATGCCTCTGTTGACTAAAAAGCTGAGTTAAAATTGGCAAAGAAAACTTTTAAATGAATGATATTAACAATTTAAAATAAATAAGCATGAAAATACTATTTATTTTGAAGAGGACTGGAGAGACTAATAAAACAAACCTCTAACTATAGCAGTTAGTTGTTATAGTTAAGACAAAGATTTATTGATATAATTGAATTTCCATTCAGAGAATGATTTCTATTAAAACTACTGTAGACACACACAACACACACGCTTTTTGTGAATAGAGCCTACCAGTAACCATAATTACAAAACAGAGTATTTAGAGGTATTTAATAGGGTTACCTTTTCCAGTGTATTACGTTTTGTATTTCAACTCTTGGTCATTTCTCCAATTTTTTCCATTATTTTCTTACCCTGCTAAATCAGCATGTAATTTGATAATTTTACCAGCATCTTCAACAGTGTTCAAATGATGTGTATGTTGTAAACTTTTTGTAACTTAGAGACTTAGGCCACACACTACCAGTGTTCCATTTTTTATTTATTGAATTTTCTAATAATAAGCATCAGTATCTTGGAATTGTGTACAATAAATATGACCAGAAGTCCTCCATATACTGATGAAAATAGTAAGTAAATCTTTATATTTTGCCTTGTATCTGCATTCAGTTTCTTGGGAAGGTATGAGAAAGCTTGAAGAAAAGATATTTGTATTCTCCAATTTTTTGTGCAGAATTTATTGAACCAAATAACTGGAGGTCAATTAAGCCATCTTCTCTTTACTGCTAATTATCCCTAAGTTCAAAGGTTCTTTCCCTCAACTTGTCTTCTTGCATTCCCCAGATTTTTTGTTTGAGGTTTTTTGGGTGGGTTCCCCTGGGTCCTCTCCCCCCCGCCCCTTGAATGAAATTCTTATGTCTTATGTGTAGAGTAAGTGGCCAAGAGTATGACGGAGGTTATGCTGGAGGGCACAGACCCATCTTTGGGAAAGATGAGTGTCACAGAAAAAGTTTTAGATTTTTTTAAAATTTCATGGTGATGACACGATTAATATTTTTAATATATATTTAATGCATTCTCTAAGCTCTTGAACCAGCATTATATTTAGTTCTTGAAGTAATCCTTCATTGTTTTTCCCATTTTATAAACAAGACTCAGAACTAAGTTGCCCAGAGTCACACAGCTAGGAAATAGAACACTGAATGCAAGTACAGATCTGACACCCAGGCTCATCTTCCTATTGTATTTCCATATCCTTGCAGTCCATGGTGCCAAGATTTATTCCTTTTCTTGCATCATCACTTAGTTATATAGGTCTTTCCCTAGGAAAGAATGGGTGTCAGGTCTTAAAAAGGAAAGACCAGAAGTTGTACATCTTGCCTTCATTCACTCCCTTCCTCTTTAACAGGAATCCTTGAATAATTGAAGCATGTTAATCATATATGCACTTTAAGCATATGCCTTTTGAGACCTTAGGAAGGTATCTGCCTCATCCTCTGAAGGAGAGGTTATTGCTCTTATTATCTGTGCAGAGACAAAAATATTAACTGTGCCATTCCCAGGATCGGGTCTTTTCATGATTACTTATGTTATAAAACATAAGTGTAAAGCTAAGGCATCATTAATGCTATCTTATTTTTTTAGACAATCAGGAGAAGATAGCAAGATGCTAGTGTGTGATACGTGTGACAAAGGGTATCATACTTTTTGCCTTCAACCAGTTATGAAATCCGTACCAACAAATGGCTGGAGATGCAAAGTAAGTTGTTTCTTTTTTAAGAACAATACCATGCTTTATATAAAGAAGACAAATTTAATACCTACTCAAATCCATACATTACCATGAACATTTTATAAAATTAATTGATAGTCAATAAACTGCACCTATTTATACTCTATAATTTGACACATGCATAAACCTAACAAACCATCATCACCATCAAAACAATGAACACATCTTTCACTCCCAAAATTTACTGATGCTTCCCAGTAATCCTCCTTTCTATTTATCTTCCTTCCCACCTTCCCAGGAAATATGTTCTTCATCACTATAGTTTGCATTTTCTAGAATTTTACACAAATGACATCTGATAGTGTATACTATTTTTGTTGTTGTTGTTGTAAGGGGGTGGTCTGGCTTCTTTTATCCAATATAACTCAAGATCCATCCATTTTGTTGTATATATGAACTATAATTTTTTAAAATTGATTTATAGGAGAGAGCTACGATTTGTTACTGACTCACTTGCTGATAAAGATTTGTTTCTAGTTTTAGGCTATTATAAATAATTCTACTGTGAACTTACTAATTTGTAAGCTGTTTCATGACTTATAAATTTATTTTTAATTGTTATTGTTAATCTTTCTGGAAACCCTCTATAGGAGGTAGAATCTCAAAGGAACTAAAACCAGATTTTTAAAAACCTATTAACAGTTCATAGATAAGCCTATTACTTTGGTTGATAAACTTTTCTTTCCTTATCTTTTATGTGCATTTAGTTATATGGATATTTCTAATAACTGTAATAAATATTTGAATTCTATTATTATGTGTAGCTTTTGTATATCCCCACCCCAAACTACATGGCAACTTTTACAAAGTGATTTTAACTTGGATGTTTCTTTTTTAGACCAACAGATTTTCTTAGTTTTGAGATTTTTGTAAGATCTAGAGACATTTTTCCTATGCTTCACATATAAGATGTTCTTATTGATGAAATGCATTTTAAGATCTAGTAGCAGTTAATGTTTTCATTTTTCTAACTATTCTTCTAATCAATGATTTGCCCTTCTTTTTTCTTTAAGTGAACACTTTCAAGTCATACTGGTCTTTCCTACAATCATTCATAGACATTTGTCTTATACCATTGGTTAGGCTAACTAATAAATTACAGTGTGTAATTAAACCCATATTGTATATTGCTTTTCCCTTCACTTATCTGAATAGTTCTCTGCTCCTTCCTCTCTAAAATAGATTATATCTGTATATAAATCTATCATTGCTTTAGGAGTCAGAATTCCTAGTGAGTTTTCTGAAGCTGTAAATTGCACCAGAGCAAGCTGCCCATGTCTTCTTCCCTGTGGAACCACTGGTAGTAGAGCTGTCTGCCAGAGTAGCACCATTTTTGGATTTTCAGTGCAATTCTCTACAGACTGTTCCACCAGAGTGCCCTGAACGTCTCTTTAGCATTCTATAGTAGTGATCATGTTGTTAAATTTTTAAAAGTATAATAATTTCTTATAAATTCAGTCAAATATATAAGGGGGACATAAAATGTCAGTCCTACACAGACTTTTTCAAAAAATATAAAAGGAAGAAACTCTTCTAACCCGTTTACAAGGTTAACATTGCACCAATAGTAAGTAGATATAGAAAAACATTGCAAGAAAAGTACAACTAAAATTAAAAAAAGTTTTAAATAAAATTTTAGCAGATCAAATCTAACAAAATAGGAAGCAAGAGTATTATACTATGATCGATGTATTTTCAAATATTAAAACACAACTTTCATTTCTAGAATAAATACCATGCCATTGGCTTAACATTTGAAAATCAGCACTTGTTCTCTACATTGTTGCTGTTCACTCACAGTGACCCCGTGCATAATAGAACTACATCTCAGTTTTACATCATGCTCAGGATTTAGATCAGACCATTGTGGATCACAATCATCGACTGATTTTTAGAAGGTCACCAGGTCTTTTCTTTGCAAGTCCATTTTAGCCTGAAAACTCTGCTGAAATCTGTTCAGTATCACAGCAACATGCACATCTTCAGCAACATGAATGATAACTGTATGCAGTTCCTTGTCTAGAAATCAATGTATACATCGAACCCTTGCTCGCTATAAACAATGATAATGTGAAGCATTCACTATGGCCTTCATTATGGAATATACTACAGAGCAAACAAAAATCCTCAGAACTAGACTCGTAAACAATACCTTGGTAAAATGAGAAAAGATTGAAGTTGTCAAAGATCCCATTCCACACAGGTCCACAGCAAACATCCATGGAAGCAACAGTCAAATAATCAGACAATTAATCACAAGTCTTTTGCCACGGGCATTTGCATGTTACCTAACAGCAAATAACAACCACCACTATGGGTGTTGACTGTGGATTCAAGTAAAATAAATTGTTGACAGCTTCACTCTATTCACCATCTGTCATGATGTTTGTTGCTTGTTAGTCCAGTTCTGAGAGTTTGTTTTCTTAATCTTGAGGTATTTTGCTTATGTGCTTTTAATTTTTCTTTTACTTCCACACAGACTTAAAGTTCTCCTCTTATATTGCTAGTATATAGGAAAATGCAGTTTTATAAAAAAATGAAAAAAGGCACTAAATTTTCTCATGAATAATAAAGCATTTATATAATTTTAAAAGGGCATTTGCATGTGAAATGTTAAGTGGTAAATAAGAAAGGCTGAAGAAGAGCTGGTGCTGGTGAAGGAATATTGCTGTTGTTGATTGTCTTCAAGTCAAGTACAACTCATAGCAACCCTATGAGCAAAAGGCCTGAAGACCCGTTACAACTATTGACATTTATCAAAGTTCAGGTTATTTAGGAAGTGGATGCCACTCCTGCTTCCAAACCTGTCATAGTATATTACTGTTTTTATGTGCCATTGAGTTGCCTGTGATGTATAGCAATTCTTTGTACAGTGAAGGAATACCAAACTCAACAAAGAA